CCTGGTGTGCACACCACGCAGTTTGATGTGACACCTCGTCCGCGAGCGTGTTTTTGATTAGTTTGTGTAACGCTCCTTCACCCGACGTGGTGCCTCGTTTCCTCCCATCTTAATCGTCGCCGGAGACCCCGCGACGGGCTCCTTTGTGAAGAAGTGTACGCCTCGTCCCCAGCACTTTCCCGGGCGGCTTTGAGCAGCGTGGGGCGCTCGCCTCTTCGGGCTTTCTTTTTCCTTTTTCGCGAGTATTCTTGTTGAAGTTTGAGAAAATAAAAGTCTTCTTTGTGAGTCCAAGCCGAAACGATGTGTTGGTGCGCCTTCCTGACTTCCGACGAGCTAAAGATATTTCGACAAGGTCTGGGTAGGAAAACAGCAGAGAAAGCTAGTAATTAATACAGTTTTTGGTGCAGAAATTCGGAAATTAACGGCAAGATCATGCCTACTACGGGCCAGGAGAGTGTCGACCGCCTGAAGCGGAAGAGGACCACCCTGCGAGCCGTTACAACAAAGATCATAAACGAGATTGGCGTCCTACTGGCCACGGATTCAACCGGCATCGCTGAGCTCGAAGAAAGATTTGATATTCGTCCACTTAAGGGAGGCTTTCCTGAAAGAGCTGGACAAGGAAATTGAGCCATCTGTCAAATAGGATACCTTAGAAGAGAAGATAACTGGCGCGGAGGGGTACGTGGAACGGATAAGCGTAACTAAGACACGAGTCAGCCGCAAGCTGAAAGGCCAAGAATCGCAGGACGACAGGGCGTCCGGTTCTTCGACGCAGGGCAGTGGCTCCGAACAAGCTCCAGTTGATCACGGCCGATTTCCACAACAGTAAAGCTTTCAAAGCTTTACTGTTACAATTGTTTTGCTTTTTTGAATAAAGTAATTATGACAGCAGCGTTATTGTCAAACTTAGCACTGTACACTTTTTTGTGAAAGGCAGCACCCAGTCAACAGGTGCTCTGTTATTACACCACATCAAAACCTGATGTCTCACTAGAACACCAAAACCCTGTCACACCAAAACACCACGGTCCTGATGTCACACCAGAGCACCATATCGCTGGTTTGAAATTCTCCCAAATAACATCTCTGAAAAAGTCTGGTGAATCATAAAGTTACACCAGCCCTCGGCCTGGTGTGTTTTTCACTAGGGGACTGTCATGCTCATAAGGTACAGAACAAACAAGTAACAATTTTTACTTGATATGGTTAATGCGCTTACTTAGAAAGCAAAAAAATGGCGCTACAGTGTGCCCAACCTTGAGTAATACTTTGACATGGCTCTACGCCTCCGCGGAACATATAGCACGAAAGTTTCCCTGCAGAGTATACCCAGCCACTCGGGCATTGTCGGCAACGAGGCTACAAGGGAGCGCAACGATTTCCACCCCTTGCACGCCATTCCTGTTGAAGTGTCGTTGCTGCCACAAACGACAGAAGCACCATGCTGTACTACCGATTTGAGGCTGTGAAACCGCACAAGAGGGAATGTAAGCACCGCCTGAAGGAATCGTAGGGTCCCGAGCCCAATCCAATCCCATCGGGCCACTTCAAAGCGAGGCAGACAGTGATACTACGAAAAATACTTACGTGCGGAGCAACAAACGCCGTAGACACTTCAACCTTTTGAAACGAGAACTCCGCTGAAACTGAACCCAGACTACAAACCAACGGATAAGATATGCCAACTCTGCAAGGGCTAAAACACACTAACGAAACGTCAGTATTTAATATGGAGATGCGACGCCTTGGCGGGATATCGAAGAGATGCCTAGGTCGACTTAAGGTCTATTCACACGATGGGTCTTGTCGCGAAATCTTGGGTCCCGAAACTAGGTTTCGGGAATCAAATTCCCCATCTGATCTCGACCGAAACAGCGGCGCGCCCTGAAAAAAGTGGCGCGTGTTCCTCGCTTCTGGAGCAAGTTTTCTCTGAAACCTCATCGAGGCCTGTCAATCACCCGAACGAGAAACGCGGACACTGCCAATGGCCGCTCGACTTCGCTATGACGTCTGACCTTCGAGGAGGAGCGAGCTTTTGGAGGCGTCTGATTTTTGGCCGATTTCCTATCCGAGCCAAAGCAAAAAAAAAAAAGAAGCATGGCGAGCGACAAGTGGAGAAGCATAGCTTACGGGCGATGAATTTTGGTCCTACTCGGTTGCAGGTTTGTGAACGGCGCCTTAGCAGTGTGAGTTGATGGCGCGGTGCAGATTCGTCAACAGTCGCGACGAGTGCAAGCACCGGATATAAACATGATGGCTGGCGATAACTTTCTTTACTAGCGGTGCAAAATTTTCCGAAATGCTTCGAGATTATCCGCCTGTTTTTTGACGTTTGCGGTTTTTCCCTGGTGTGGCAAGACTAGTAAACCCAGTGAGCCGAATCTGACGAAGTCTCTTGAGTGGTATTATAAAACTGACTGTCTCTTCAACTGTGTGTACTTCATATCATTTTGATGCGAAACGCTTGGTATTTCCGGTGCAGAGTACAGCATTTGGCGAAATTCTCGTGAGTCAATACGTCACAGGTTTCGCACGTAAAACTCCACGTGTGAACAGGCTGCTTTCGCGAAATCGGAGTTTTGCTAAACTGTGGCGCGTTGAAAAGATGCATCGTGTGAACAAGCCTTTAGGTTCAGGCACGTCTTCTACCCACGAGAAATGGGTCCGACCCATCGGTGACTCCTAAAGAAGATCCTGAAGCCTGGAAACGCTACTCGACTACGTTGACGCCACTGGTCTCTGTGACAAAACATAGAAAGGATTGGGGATGAGGAAAAAATTCTCACCAGGGCGGCGATCACTCCGCTGCATTTACCTATATATTATTCCGGGCCAATAAGCATTTTCGCACACACACGACGGCACACCATTAGTAGGTCAGTTGTCTTAAATACCTCAGTGCCACGTAGATATCGCGCATCGTTAGTCGTGTATCAAAGAATCTGTCTAAGCCCACAGATTTTTTTTTTTTTTTTCAATTATATTAATGGTCATACACTCTTTTCCTTCCGCTATCCTTCTTTATGAAAAACAAAATAAATAAATATAAATGTTTTTGCCGTCATTTATCGTATGTCGACAATCATATATTGGTTTAAAATGACTTACAGATAGCATTCCGTGTTTTCGAGGCTTGTGTTTTGTAAATTTGTAAGGCTGCTTATTCTTTGATTTAATTTTTGCCGAAAATTTCGGTTTTAATTTTCCAGTCTTCCCAACAGATTTCAAATTTAAAATAGGAATGAAAAATATCCGCACGTAAATAGGCCATTAATTCTTATGAACTTAGCTCGTTTCATATTATTAAGGTAGGATATTTGGTTCAACGCACTAAATATATTTAGTGCAAGGGGCGGTGGAGAACCTGAAAAAGAGAGAGCTATTTTTTCAGTTGCATTTTACATAGGTGCCCTTTCCATTCGCGGGGCCAGTGACACGCACATCACGTATTATAAATATCTGGGTCTTCATCAAACCATCAACTTAAAAGGGATCACTCAGATGAATTAAAACATATTTATGGCAAAGAGTACGCCAAGTTTTCTGTAGAGGAAGCGTAAACAGATTTCCTGCATAATTATATTATGTCTCAAACTGGAATAGGCTGCAATCGTGTTGTCCCCTTAGGCAATGTTAGCTTAAAAAATAATTGGAAGGAGTGTAATATAGGGATTTATAGCATTTATGTATGTTGATATTTCTTTTTAACACCAGTATATTTGAACTACGAAAGCGAGCGAAACTTTCTGAAATTGAAGGCGGAAAATACTTCTAACACTGTTTTACGATATTCGTTCATGTGCTCCAGAGATTAGAAAATCCAAAGATTAGAATCTTTATGTTAGGCTTTATGCAAAATTAGAACACCATCGAACTAGAAACCGTCTACCTATTCAGCCCCTTCTATTAGAATTATTTTATGGTATTCACAAGAGGAATTGATTCGTCCGTTAACGTGTATACAGCGCACGGTGTCGGTCTATATGGATAATTATAAAGGAACTGTTATAAATCCGTAAGCCACTCCTGGTACTTAAGAATCAAGTGGCAGAGGATAGTTAAGTTTTTTTACCCATTATGACGTTTTCCATTTTTTTCCTTGTATGTGTCAATTCCTTTATGCCTGTAACTGAAATGTTTAGTTATATCTTGCACAGTCAGTTGTCTGGAGCTCTACAAGATATTCATGAACACATAAATCACACCTTACGCGCGTTAGAAGTATTGTCATTTAATCAGTTTCATACATGTGTGATAATAACAAGTAATTATTATAGTAGAACATTTAAACAAGAGGTAAGAAAAAGAAACTTGCGGCGTACAGACAGGTTCAAGGTCCCTAAGATACAAACAAACTATGGAAAAAAGTTAAAACGACACTATGTCCCTTCGATGTTCAACTGTTTGCCAGAATCTTTGCTGAACTTGTCCTCCTTTCGTGCGGTAAAACGAAATGTAAGAGAATGGTGCCTCACGCTCGCGCAATAATAATTAAATAATTACTTGGTGCGTATTCGTTGTCCAAATGCCTACATTGCTGTTGTTTGTTTGTTTTGTTTCTCCAGTGTTCAATGGTGTCATGGTATTTTGTTGTCTGCCTGGTCCCACATACAAGCATCTTTGCTTTCGTGGGCCAGCACGCTTACACCTGTATTTTTTCAAAGCTAATAAAGATATTATTATTATTATTACAAAGCGCAGAACTACTCGTATAGGTAGCTAGGATGACGATCCAATCTCACAGCATGTATTTTCACAGGAAGCGCTTCTCCAGAATTTTAGCTTACTGCACGAAGGTCACTTGCCGTATCCGAAAACGTAGTAGCGAAGGTATCGCTTCCTCCACGTGTTGAAGACAGTGACCAGGAGGAAAGTGATGTGAAAGCCCTCCAGGAGCATCCACGAGAACGCAGCCAGAAAGAAATAGTGGAGCAGACCGGCCACCACGGAGCACAGGGTCTGAGTGAGAGAAGAGACGAGGCTTCCTTCAGAGTCCTTTATTGGCACTTCTCTTTCTCGGACAAGGCGCGCCGCCCAAGAAACTTGGCCCCCGGCAGGGTCACGCCGCCAAATTCGCAGAGCACGAGCAAAGTGCACAATACAAAACAGAAGTCTTTGCAGACTTCCGTGATGTCTACCTTGTCCTGCGTCTGGTCCAAACCGAGCATCAGGACGATTTCGGCTATGAAGAGGCTGATGCACAGGTTCAGATGAATGGACGTTCGGGTATTTCGCAGCGACCTAGAAAATGGGAGAAGCGACCAGTGCTTATTTAACGACCCTAGAGGTGTCAAAAAAACGTGCGCTTTAGGATAAAGAAATGTCCTTCAGCGCAACAACTTGCTTTGTAGCGGTTGCATTTGGCATGAGTGGAGAGTTGGGGAAAGCAGCCGCGAGTGAAAGCCGTCGCTATAGTAGTCTCAATATAGATTTACAATGGACATAGATCTGTTAAGGCTAATTGCATAAACTCAAATAGCTCATCTCCGGTGATGGTGGAAGACAGTCTTGTTACACCACTTCGAAAGGGGCAAACTCGCCCTTAGAACTATTTGAGTGCAAGAATTTAGCTTCACTGCTAGCTCTATATTTCTTATTTATTTCAGCATCTGAACATTTCATTACCACTCTTTTTTCAGCGTATTTTACTATACTATATTATACTATACAATGCAACGTTGGAGCTTGTATTTTTTTTTCAAGGAATTGTTTCGAAAAAAGAACTATTGAATGTGCACCAATCACCCCCCCCTCTTTCCCCCTTATCGCTTTTAACCCATTAACATAACTCATGAAGGAGAATACAGCGATCAGTGAAACATCATCTCCACAGTAGTTAACGGGTTATTTTAGTGCTTTATGACATTGATTGAGCAGGACGGCAATAAATGATATCTTGTAAAGCAATCAAGGCAGCGTAGATGTTTGAGAATAAAAAGCAACACATGGTTCTGTTTAATATATGTGTGGTCTTGCCGCCGATGCCTATTCAAAAATGCCTAAAATATATCATTTATAACTTTTAGAGTACTCGATAAAATATAAAAAAAGTCAATCGTGCCTTTGACGTTAATAATGATTTTATTCCGGACAGATATTTAAGCCCGATTAAGATTTAAACACGTGTACACACGTGCCATATTAGTGATAATATTTTAAAATATGAAATACTACTACATAATAAATAAACAAACGTATTTCTTTAGAATCGTTAATTGGCGTCTCCTGGCATCTGTCATTTGGTTGCCTAATACAATCATTAGTTCAACATTTTTATATATAGTAGGCGCGCCCACGCCAAGTGTATGTCGATTAAACCTTATAGAAGAAAACAATAAACGTCAATTTATTGCGACGAATAATGTCAGCAATAATCGCCACAACTAAACAAAATTCCCATATAAAACATTAAGGTATCACGGGAGCCGTGCAGCCTTATGGCATATCCTAATTCCGCCTAAGGAAGATTACGTTTCATTGGTGATCGCGTAATCACGGTAATCAGATCTATGGTCTTGTCGTTGCCTTATTCAGCAGAATGCATCCTGCGAGAATCAACGATTGTTGCGTCGACCCAGGCATAGCTATGGCTTGTTTTACAATAAATTCGTCCAGCCCTTGAGGAGGTCCCAGAGCCGCGAAATAATATAAACATTATCTGTAGCGTGTTAAGAAAAGAGTAGAAGCCTCTCCCAAAAATGCGTCTTGCCACGAATAGCGGTTTCTTTCTTTCCACACGCCTCCTCCTCAGAGTTCACTCTCTTAATGCTGAAGAGGTGGAGGACTTCGTGGCAGGAGTGTCGTGCTTTTCTTATTCATCAAAAGACTTTAAACAACGCAATCTGCCTGGTTTCAGAGAACTCCTTCTGTGATGATTCAATATCCTACACCACGGTGCGGGAGGTTGGGTCATCCCAAGAAGCACCAATTCCAAGAAAAACGATTCATAGGCAAAGCGTGACTCATTTACTACCTATAGCTCCACCGTGTATTAAAGTATTTACCTGAAGCATCCGAAGACCGCAATGCAGATGGCCAGGCAGATGACCGACACGCTGCAGCCGACCAGGGTGATAATCTTGAGGGACGTGCCTGTCAGCGCTTCGTCGAGGACTCCGTTCAAGTCCATGAGAACTCCGAAGTTGGAAAGATGTCGACACAGGCAGATCACGTGCGTGCCATTCCGAGATCCCACCTCGCAGCCCTCTGGACTCCACTCACTGCGTTTCGAATACATCCAGTAAGTATCGCAGAACCCGTGTCATCCTAAAACAAATTTATGGCAGTGACTCTAGTGTGATTATTGGAAAGGTACTGGCGAGCTGGACAGAATAAACGATAGCAAATCCTGGAACAGGGGAGAAAAACAAATCTCCAAACAGAACTACGTCTAGATGGCTGGTGCGCGCTGAGAAAAATCCGCCTAGTCCTGCTATCGAACCGATGACAAATCGGTCCCTGGTTCGTTATCAAAACTAGGTGGATTTTTTCAGCGCGCACCAGTCATCTAGTTGGCTGTCGAGATTTGTGTTTGTCCCCTTGTTCCCTTTCTTCCCCCTTTCCAAGGGTGATTAACGTTTATTCTGTCCAGCTCACCTGCACCTTTGCATTAATTGCATTAAATCATAACACTTAAAGTCGACCCGTTCACCCTCGTTGGTGTTAGACTGGTGGCAGCTGATAAAACCCGTTTGCTCTACTCTTGGTTAGCTCAGTTGGTAGAGCGCTTCACTGGAAATGGAGAGGTCCCTGGTTCGATACCAGGACCAGTGGGGTTTTTCAGCACGCACCTGTCATTTAGTTGTGTTTAGAGATTTGTGTTTTTCAAATGTTTCCCCTACCTCCCCTTTTTCCTGAGATTATTAACGTCCGCAGGGTTTTGATCACACCTTACAAAATGTTTATTCTTAGAATACGTTCTAGTTCAGTAAATCTCGGTGCAATAACTTAAGTATCAATACTCATACCACGACATTTGACGAAAAGGTCATTGGTTGTCGTTATTTTCACAGGGTCGCTTACGATATCCAAAGAAATTGCAGCGCCACCCTTGAGGAAGGCACCCTTGAGGAAGAATACATAGATATTCTTCCTTCGGCCGTAACAATTTTGAGTGTCGCTTTTGCGTCTCACCTTTGAACCGAGATACAACCGAGAAATACTTAGTATATTTTGAAATCCAACTAACTGCCATTGCAGACGTGTGGCAAGCTGGGCGAATTGGTGTAATGATACGGTGAGCAGTATAGAGCACAGAAAGACAAGAACAGAGAAAAAGACGATGCACGACACACAAGCGCTGACTCGGAACTTAATTTATACACAAACAGTAGATAAAATGTACTGAAAGTCACTCTGTGCCGGAGCTTGATCGACATACACTACACAGCACCATCTAACTAATATGTCTTTCCCCATCGTCATATATAAAAACAATGTTTCCAATTGAAGCACTGTCACCAATCCGTGGCTAATGCAGCGGTCTCCCAAACTAATATTACAATCCGCTTTCAAGATTTTGCGAGTCGTCTTGTCTTAATAATGTCCAATTATTGCTGTGCCGTTAAGGATTGGAGAACACGTGCAGGTATAGCAACTTAAGGGGAGACAACTGCCCACCGTAGATTTTAGTGAACGATCAAGATCGAGAAGGAGGTCATTCAGGATCCGGCCTGATTTACCCAAATAGCTTCTACTAGTGCCTCTAAATTAGCTACGCTTTTAATTAACGACACTTCCCCATATTCTGGCTTAATATCATGGCTGCAAGTTATCTGAAGCTTTATCTGAAATCACAGGAAACGTTTTTTCGCCCTCCATAAATGTTCAAACAGTTCGCGACAGAGCAAAGCAATATTAAATGAGCTTCCTAACAGCAAATCTATTGCTGAGGAAGTCGCACTTTTGAAGCATGACGATCCGCAGTTGCGTCTGCTGTGCACAAGACTCAAGATGGTGGCGCCCACAACAATCTCAGGGAACAGAGTGTCGATGCTCTAAGCGCAGCTAATTTAATGGTTCTAGCTCCTACCACGCACTATGGGGATTTCGTACAAAACGCCAGTTGAACACGACACGTAGCGGTGTCTATGGCGCTTCTGGCACGTGAATTTTTGAAGGTCTCTCGCTCTGGAGCGAACCTTGGAGCAAATTTACGGCAATCATTCGGGAGCCGAAAACACCATGGGAACATTGTACCTTTTAGCTACTCTTGTAAAATTTTATAATGTTTTGTGCATATGTAAATCAACCTCCATTCGCATCTGGTCACCTCTTGGTTTCGAACGAGGTGGTGGGTGCCATGGTGCGTGAGTTGAAATGGAGTCAGCAAAGAAAGCTAAAGATCGCCAGAAACGAATGGCAATTGTTTTATATATGCAAAAAACATCGCATAATAAAAAAAATCGCCAAACGGTACGATGTGGCCATGTTGTTTTCGGCTCCCAATAAAATGGCGAAAATAGGCTCCAAGATTCGCTCGATAGCGGAAGACCTAAAAAAAGCCGCGTGGCTGAAACACCATTTCCTCCCCTATCTGTTGTGTTCAGCTGGCGCTGTGTGCAGAACCCCACTAACGTGTGGTCCAACCTATTCGGACCAAATAAGCCGTGTCTTGGATGACCGTCTTCTCGAGCATGATCGTTCACTGAAACCTACGGCGGGCAGTCACTGTAACACCTGCTCGTCTTCTACGATTCGCAATGGTACAACAATAATTGGACAGTGTCGAGACAGGACCACTTGCGAAATTTTGGAAGCGCATTGTATTATTAGTGTGAGGAACCGCAGCCTTAAACACCCATCAGTGACACTGCTTTAACCAGAAATCTTGCTTTAGATAGAACTAGGGCAATTATTAAGCTACGCTTTACAGTAAGGACACTTCAGTCGTCTTGGTGCTTAAAACACTAACAATCAGTTGTCTGAAGATCTATCAGGAATCGGAGGAAACGGTTTTACGCCCTTCGTAAATAGTTTAAACAGTTCACAAGAGAGCCACACGATGTAAATTGAGCTCCGTAACACTGTATTCAAATCTGTGGAAGTCTCATTTGTTGATTGTGATGATCAACAGTTGTGTCTGCTCTGCTCTAAGCATTAGGCTGGAGCCTCCCACGGAGAACAGAGCAGCGCTAATCTATTAGTCTTGTTACATGGGCACACTTAAGTGCAGTTAGGCTAAGCCACAGTTACACACAACATTTGCAGACAACATTATTCGCCTATGCAGTCAAAGCTATGGGCCCACGCACGCTTGAGCACCTTGAACACCTATCAAACCTGACCAAGCGCACTCTTTACTTCTTTTTAAATAGCTGTCCAAGAGTATAGCTAGGTAACTGTGGTGACGCGTAACAGCAGGTTAAGGTGAGTTAACTGCGGTTAAGGGTGCCCGTGCAACACCGCTATTCGCGACTCCAGCAAAACGAATGACACCTAGCGGGAAAACACTGAGCTGGCCGGAACAGGTCCTTTTGCGATTTCTGCTCGTCGCTTGTGGCCTCCGTGTTTCCATGTTGTCGGAGGTTTGCGCGACAGAACAGCTCTACCGGTGACTGTGTCGTAACCGTAGTATCGCCTTGTGACCCAGGTTGCTCTGCACGCGACCTACGTAACCGCGCGAGCCAGACATTCTGCGTTTATCAATGTTCATCAGCACCGGGGAAGGACAGTGGGCAGTCCTCTCCTCGTTTCCTTGAAGAACGTCAAGTCTCTGGAAGTTCGCTTACCCCGACACATCACCGCAGGTTCGAAACATGGAAGATAAAACGCGAGGCAAGCCATTTTGAGTCGAATGCTTGCTTGCTTGTGCCGCAGCGTTGTGCGTTGAGCTGGCACATGGCACGAGACGACCTGGATTCGACCGCCATATTTACCCGATAGTGGCGTCTTCCATAGGTCGCTGGAGTCGCGAATAAGCGTGACCCATGTCCTGGCTTTATAGTCCGTTGCAACCTAAGAACGAAGGGCGAGGGTAAGACGGGCCGGGGAGGAGGAAGCAGACGGAACGCTGGAGAAGAGAGGGGGAAACCTCCTTCCCTCTTTAGCGTTCCGTCTGCTTCCTCCTCCCCGGCCCGTCTTACCCTCGCCCTTCGTTCTTAGGTTGCAACGGACTATAGATAGGACAATGGGGAAAAACATACTAATTATATGATGTTGTATAGAGTATGTCATGCCCTGGCACAGCATGCATTTTAGTTCGTTCTCCTCTTCCGTTTGTATACAAATTCAGTTCCGAGAACGCGCTTTTCTGTCGTGCATGTTCCTTTTCTCTCTCCTTGACCTTTCGTACGTCATACAGTTCACCATTTCACTGCAATTTCCCATTTATGGCTTGTAGGCAATCTATAGGAGTCCTGATTACTAAGTCTCCAATAGAACGCGTAGAGATAAAATAATGTAATTTCCAGCGAACACAACTTTGATTACGGACAAAATAATAATATTGAGCTACGCAACCTAAAATCTTTAAATTATTAAAAACCATGATGAATATTAGGCTAAATAAGTTAAGTAAACTATCTGCGTAGTAAATGGAAAAGGAAAATCTGGTTTAATCTTTGACTACGTGTGCAATACTATTTAAATATAATAGTACGATGGTTTTACTGGGAATAACATTAGTTGATTTTATTACAGCTGTTGTTTTTTCGTTTTTTTTAATTGCACATATCACCAGAACTCAGCGGCGCCTTTGGCAACAGGACTGTCGTCAGAACCTCGAGCATCGAATACCGAATTTGACGGAAATCTTATTTCTTTTTACATTTTTAAGTTGCAGACAACTTCTTTGAAACTCGGTTAAACATTTACCTTTGAATGACTAAAACTAAATACATTAGTAATATGACATATAAATAATAATATTGCGTTCGCGTTTCTTATTATTGCAATTTCACTTTTGTCCTTTTGATAGGAAATTGAAATTGAGATTACTCAGCTGAGAGCACTGCCAATAAGTTCCCGAGAAGTCATTCGGTACCGTATGTAATTTTTGGGGGATATGTAACTTTTTTTTCACGAATCTAATTGGAAAAAAGATTTTTCCTCACTGGAAAAATGTATTTATCTTTCTGTGTAACATGGTTATTAGTCTCGCAGCCTCGTTACGAATTCATTTGTGTTACTGTAAGGATGCGTGAACGGATAAACTGTTGCCGGAAAAGTACTAGTGATTTCAGTAGCTTCCGGTTTTAAGAATAAGGTATATATTTAATACAAACAATCCCGGATTCATGCGTGTTCAGCATTCAAATATGTTCTGTTTGCATTACACTGTGAATCTGTTGCACAGTAGGTGACATTGCACACATGGCGTCTACCGTGAATGCTCTTCGTCATTAGCATTTTTAATTGTTTGCTGTAAAATAACCGTCCATTTTATTCCGTTCTAATATTAGGAGTAACAGAAGTAATTCCCTTTTTAAAAACACTGATAACAAATGGTCCCGGCGAACAATAACACACGATACCGACCTACGAGGGGCGCTCATAAAGTTTGTACTATTATTAGATGAAGCAAGAGAGCAGTGATCAAGAGCGTTGGTGCCCAGCTTAGTTCATTTCCACATTTGTTCCTGATAAAACGTCAAAGCTCACCCCACCAATTGATGTGCTGGGGGATACAATGATTGCAGAAATCCTCATTTTCGCTCACGAGGAACTGCTTTACCCAGATAATAACCTTGTCATCGCCCTAGGAAACACTTCCCACGCAATAGGTCATTTACGAGAGAAAGAAACTAAAAGTCACAGGTTGCCGGGGCGCAGGAATACGAGGAGAAAAGCAGACTGTCACGGCTTAAAGAATCTGCATGCGTGTGTCTGCTGTGGACAATCAGCTTGTTCGTTGTCTTGTAACGAACGCACTCCCCTTGTCAGCTTCCTGTGACACTTGAGGTCCTTTCCTAACTTAGTCAGGTCACCCAATTTCCGGCGGTTTGGCCTTTACGGGAGTAATCTGTCTATGGTGTTGGGCCGGAACTTCTGCTACGCTTTTCTAAGTATAAGCACCAACTACGAACAACAACATTTAATCGCTCGCGATTGCTGCTCAGCGCTCGAAGTTGAGAGACATGAATGCGAGATTTGCTTGCTACCTTGACAAACAAACTGACAATCCAAATTTGCATAGTTATTCACTTCAAAAACATGCTATTTTCATGAAAATAATGCAATTAATGCAAAGGCACAAGCGAGCTGGACAAGAATGCTATTTTTACTTCTTTTCTTCACAAAATGAAGAAACATTAAACAAAGTGTATGTCAACCATCGTCCTAACTGTGTCTTATTTTGTCGGTGTTCCCCTTAGTACTTTTTCATGAAATCAAGCTATCGTTTGTTCTTTTAGCTTTACCTTGCTCTCGGCTATTGACTCGTGTATGTATGTTTCATAGTCTTTATGAAATATGTTGCTTTATTTATTATCGCACACAAGAAAAAACGTCGCTATTTTAAAGAATGTAAAGCTTTATTTATTATCGCAGACAAGAAAAAACGTCGCTATTGTAAGAAGTTTTATTAAGGAACTCACTGGTAATTGTTGAAAGGAGGAAATATAATACATTTATTTCCCATCAAAACCATGGATGTGATCGCGAAACAAAACCAGGAAAGGTCTGCTTTCAGAAGCTCCCTCCTCCCTTGAAAGTATACAACTCAAGATCAGGTAGGCAGACGGTGCACTACGTACAATGCGCAAAGACACTCCACATAAAAACAAACACAAAAACCCGAATGGTATTCACCAAAAAGAAACTCACTTGAGGAGCGTGTCCCAGAACACGCAGATTGGATTTTCAGCCTCTGACTTCAGCATCGGCAGCGTAATCTCGACATTTCTGCTCAGTTGGAGTCCTTCGGATTCACTTCCTATCCGAATGCTGATCACGGGGGAGTTGAGTTCCTTCTTTAGCTGTTCTATGTCTTGCTCGTCTCTGGGTGGAAGAAATACATTTGTTATAGAGCTTAAAAAAAGAAAAATGAAAGCAGTTTACAACTCCCTGTAACGCCAAATTAGCACGCAGCTCTTGAGGAGGAGGAGGGGAAGGTACGGAGAGAAGACTATGCCCTTCCTCCTCTCCTGCTCCTAATGCAGTCATCTGGTCCACAGGCAAGTATACGCGCCGCTTCCATGATCTCTCTCTTTAACTCGCCCCTCATGCGTCCCCCCCACCTTTGTGATGGCAAACGCAGGAGAACACCCGCAATTCCTGCAGTGTATAAGTAGATGGGAACCGCGCGCACTGCCGAGCGAGGCCGCGTGCTCACGCAGCCTATCGTTCAAACAGCGACCAGTCTGTCCCAAGCAGACTCTACCACAGCTGAGAGGGATCTCGTAGACGACTTCCTTAACACAGTGCACAAACTGCTTGACATGCCTCATGTCACAGGGGCCGTTCCTAGATCCTGCGAACGTAGGGTAGCTGCCCTACGTTCACACGAACTTTCACAATCTGAAACGTGAAGGAGCAAAATTCAACGTTGACGTTGTCTTCACGGCCCCCTGCAAACTATCTAAACTCTGCGCAATGCCATTGGGACCAAACCTAGGAACGGCCCCTGTGACATGAGCCATGCCAAGCAGTTTGTGCATTGTGTTAAGGAAGTGGTCTACGAGATGCCTCTCAGCTGTGGTAGAGTCTACTTGGGACAGACTGGTGGCTGCTTGAACGATAGGCTGCGTGAGCACGCGGCCTCGCTCGGCAGTGATCACGGTTCCCATCTACCTATACACTGCAGGAATTGTGGGTGTTCTCCTGCGTTGGACAACACAAAGGTGGTGGGACGCATGAGGGACAAGTTTGGAGAGAGAGATCATGCAAGCGGCGCGTAGACTTGACTGTGGACCAGATCACTGCAGTAGTGTTGCGTCAGTGCATCTGACCAACAAATTTGTGTCCTGAACGCGGTGTGCACGTGGAGCGAACGTGGAGTCTACGCAGCGCATGATCTTATTGTTTTCTCATGCCGCTGTCAGAATTTTAATATTTTCTTTAATATTTATTATGGCCACGTGTTTTGCAACGTCCTTCTAGTGCCGCTGTTTCTATCTTTATTAGCATTTATCTCTTTTGAAAGAGAAAGAAGAGCTTGTGCTCGAGAGCTTTCGGATGACTGACGTAGATAATCAAGCTATGTCATTTATTCTTAAAAGTATCAACAGTGCAATGTTCAAAACTGAGATGACAAGGGTTGACAACTACTTGTGTTCCTACAGCCTGAAGCCGTAATCGGGAAAACGCTCTTGGTCGACTGTGGCTAACCGCGGTCGCTTGGTTACTGTCGCTTCACTATAGTTTACTGCTTCATCGGGAGATGTATATAGCAGAAGAGTTCCAGCTGAGCGTCTTGAGATTGCAGCTCGAGGCATATAGTTCCATTAACGTGGAAGAGGCTAGCGACGCGACGCGTTACCGAGTGACTCTTTATAATTCAGACACTCCGACGCAGTAACACGAACTCTTGCTCAAATTTATCCATTTTATATCTGTCTTTTATAAATAGCGCTTAAAGGCATTGTTTCATTATATATAACATCGCAATGCGTCTGGATGGCAGAGACAATTCCTAGTTACATAGTTTATCAAGGAAGACCAGTTGAATATATTCAGTTAGTTAGTGCGGTCGTGTATTATTACCGCGTGACGCAAGTTAAATCTTATCGCGTGTAAGGGGCACTGTGCTGCTGTCACGCATTAAAATGCAACATAATTTATATCGAATAGTATTATCTATATAGGCAAAAAAGCGTAAATCCTGACACAACGTTGTCGACGCGGAGCGCTCTCAGTCAAGATCGCGAGCTGATTCGCCCACCCCTCAATGTAATTACATGCAAACGACATTCAGATATCATATCCCTGCCTGTGACAGGGGTATAACTACCCGATTTTTAGGCGAATACGAAAGATAATTATATTTTAATTGTCACACGGAGCGTGGTTGGCACGGTCGCAATGCCCCGTCACCGGTTGAATTTTTCGGACTCACCCGTCGTCGTAGAGGAGCTTGTCCAGCCGCGGGAACTCCGTGAAAACGATGACGAGCGCCGTGCTGTCCCCATCGCTGGAGACACTGTTGGGTGCCAGTCCGATTTGCGCCGTGCTCTGCGTCAGGTTAAACACGGTGCTCCTCCTCGGAAGCATCACCGTCTGGTTCACAATGTTGGCCGTCGTACCGGACACGATGTTCATCTCTGCCATTGAGGAACACAGATGAATACGAGTTAGTGACAGCTTGAATCCGTAAGCTCGTTCCGGGCACAACGTGACATCATTTACAGCTTAAGAATTGCGAATATTTACATGCTTGCGCTTCCTTCGATGCTTCCATCGGCCGACTCCGTAATTCTATTGACTGAATGGCCATCGTGAGATTATCGCCACACTCTGCGGTCCTTAAGCCTCGGTTACACCAATAACACATCGTACAAAAGACAGCCTGGACACACTGTCTGAGGCCTTCCTTGTATGACCGCCCTGTTCCATTGGTCATAACATCTGTCTAGAGACGTCTTTGAAGCATACAGGCGTGTCAGTAGATAATGCTGCCAGCATGTCTGCAGTGGACACCCTGTCATTTGTAATCTGTAAGAAGCCTGGAGGGTTTGCTCTCCCGCAAAGCTCATTGAACAGCCAATCGCTGCAATATCCACAGGACGCTCGACGAATGACGGGGCTAGTAATATGTTTAGATCCAAAAGAACTGTCTGAGCTGTTGCACTGAACATGACGTATCACCGTGCTCAGTGACGCGACGCGGAACGTTTTTGCGGTGTAAACATATAATGAGCCCCGTCGTTCGCCGAACGCCCTTCGTGGACAGCAGCAAATGAGCCTTCCTAAGTGCTTGACGGGAGAGAAGACGCATCAGGCTTCTTAGAGTGTCGTCACTAGAGGCACGTCATGTTTCGGTTGCGGAGCTTCCTATGTCGATAATGCTTTGCGCCCGGGCGAAAAACAAAGTCTGGCGCTAACCGAATTGCAATTTAACAGGCGACGCGAGCGCCACGCGTGGCTGGCAGGACACTGGGAGAGCTGAGGGCGCCTCTGGTTTTGTCAGCTCCGCGTTTCACCCTTACGCATGTTCTAAGCCTAGGAGTTGCGACATTTACAGGCGCGTGGGCACAGGGAGGAGATGCCGTAGTTTTGGAATTTCCGCCGCGCTTATGGAACGAACTCCCATCTTCCTCGCGGTAACTCCACAATCTCTCGCCTATTTTTTTTTTTTTCGTAAACTGTCAGAACCTCCCCGATGTTAAAGTGAAGTTCACACACATGGTAATTTGACGAGAATGACGTGCCCGTGCGCGGCATAGCGCGGTTCAAAGCTTGTGGTTCTTATTTTCGGCGTCTTCCGGTGACCTGAAGAAGTGCCGTTTTTCTTCGTTGCTCTTGTAACCACTCGTAGACGCAGGTGCACAACACATCAGCTTTATTACGAATCTATAGGCCGATTGCGTCGGCCAGAGGGCACTGTGTAAAGGGACTTGTTAGGACTTGTTTTGAGTGGTAGAAACCTGGCCGCCTCAAACTGCCGCGCATGTAGAAGCGTGCCTCCTCTGGTATGGAAGGCGATCACGAGGAAAATAAAAAGAATCAAAATAGATTTTAACGCACCTGAAGCACAGGTCAAAGCTAAGACGCTAAGAGCTTGAGCCAAAAGACGCCGTTTCACCCGTTCCAAAATAAAATGAAAAAAAAAAAATTAGAGGCCTTTACAAATCTCTGTCATGCGAAATTAGAGCGCAGCTCTTGAGGAGGAGGAGGGGAGGGTAGGGACGGAACGAAGGGTATTTCCTTCCCCCTCCTCTGTACCCTCTCCTCCTCCCCTCCTAGTCTCCTCCTCCTCCATACCCTCCTCTCCTCTCCTTCTCCAATTCAGTTTCCCCACTAAATTTAGCGGGCAAAATGACGTCACATGACTTGGTGTAAAGTCCCCTACGAACTAATTCAGTTTCTCCGCTAGATTTAGTGGCAATATTGATGTCACGTGACCTCGACGCCAATTCAATTCCCCATAAATTTAGCGGAGAATTGGAGTGGTGTTGATATCACGCGACGTCAATTCTCCCGCTGAATCTAACAGAGAAACTGAAGTTCCCCGCTAAATTTAGCGGGCAATTGAATTGGCATTGAGGTCACGTAGCGAGGAATTGAATTGGTGTTGAGGTCACATGACGTCAATCTTCCCGCTAAATTTAGCGCGGTTACGCCGACGGCGGCACCGACAACGCTCAACATGGAAACGGGCGCCTAAGAGCTGCGCTCCAAAAAATAGCGTCTGGAAGTTAGTGTGACGTTACCAAACAGAGAGAAAAAACGTGTGCCCTAGCGGTGATGGCATCAATCTGGCACTTTCGATTGTCGCATGACGTTGAATCTACAGCGATTAGGGACGTCAAAAGCTGTTTTTCCCTTCTTCACCACTACACAAATGTAAAAAGCCTATCGAAGGCGCCACAAGTAGTGCAAGGCACAACCAGGTGAGCTTGTACTACCCAAAATGGGGCCGCCACAGTCTATTTAAAGCCTCGGCGCAGGAGGCGTATCCAGCTTCCAGAAGAACAGTTTTTTTTCTTTTTCCAGTGGGTTTTCTTTTCCCGATGGAATTTGAGGTCAGGGAAGGGAATGGGTGACGCATTGAGGGTGGCATCATTAAATGTCGGTTGATAGTAGAACTGACTTCATACCTACATGTTTTTTTTTATTAGTGTTTTTCAACTTCAAAAATAACATTTTAGTGAACCATACTTCACAAGCTGTATATTTTCGATCGATGCGAAGATGAACGTGCGAGATATCGCACGCAAGATGCCATGGCAGCATCTGCATGACTCCGTGAGTACCAACGTACAGAACCAGAACATGCAAAGGTTTTTACGCGAAGCCCACGGAGACAGGTGGAGTCATTGTCGCTCTTAATGTGCACCCAGCCACTCGACTTGCTTGCGTAGACTGCAGAGTTCCAACAGAGTCTCTAGTCTAAGTTTCACTATGCCTGCCAGAGCCGCTGCTCCTGCACTCCAATCCTGCAACTTCTCCTTAAAGCACCGAATCCGCCCCTCAGCGCCCTGAACGGCCACGAAATAAAACAATAAAATAACAAACTAAGTAAGAGTGACCCTGAGCGCGCTAACTTCGGAAAGCTGAGACTAACGCTGGCAGAGACAGCGCCTTGCTCAGTTAAAACACGCATAAGACCACCCTGCGCGATCATCGTGCGTAGTGGTTTCCCGTCAATCCGTAGTTTTCATCGTGAAACCCTATTATTACCCAGGTGCGGCAGGTAGTTCGCAGATGAGTGACGGTCTAATACATGTGTTTGTCCTGCAATTGGAATCTACCTACAGGGCTAGTCACCGCATCTTTCGATATTCCAGAACGTGCAGCGAACATCTGGCCTACGTTGTCCCCTCATACTGTAAGAAGGATCCCGGGCATCAGGTTGTCTGCAACGGCACACATCGGAGGCTACTTCAACGTTGCCGTAAACGAACACTTGGCATGCCTCTCGCGCTCATGTAATATGACGAAACCGAAGACAGTTAGCGATTTGCAGGGTCTTAATTAGTTCACCTGTGACCACAGGCGAACTAATTAATCTGCTTGACATTCTTAAGGTTTTGACGGCAGATGTGCAATCGTGAAACGTGAGGAACTGGTGACCCCTCTAGACACTTCTCAGGTTCACAAAGCCAGTATTTATGACTCTCGTCTGCTAGTCTGTCCAACTTAGCACGAAACTCATCGCCGTGTACTGAAGTATTTCATTTGCACAAAGTTTTTCGGTTCTTTTCTATTAAACTATGTAAACTATGCTTTCAGAAAAAAATAAATAAATTAAACTTCAACAAGTTTGTGCGCAAGGCTCTTCCTCGTAAGTTTCAAAAGTTGAGGAAGAGATCTCGCACGGCATGGTCTCCGATAAGCGTAGAGATACAATCAATATACTCTACATTGTACATACATACTCGCCGCAAGGATAATTGCGTCGGGGACATTCTTCCACTCCGTGGTATATAACAGCCAGACGACAGACACCGGCGAGGTTTCAATATCTTGCCCGTTGCCTTCACGTAAGCTAATCAACGTAGCGAGACGATTGTCTTTTATCTATATGGCTTTGATCGTGTTATGTTGAGTTTAACGTGTGTTCTGCAAGATTGCCATCAACTACTTTTTATTTTTATTTTTTCCCGAAATAAATATATTCCATTATTACACTTTTTAATTCAAAAGTTAACATGACACGTCTGGGCTCAGATTATTTTTCACTCACGTTTTAATTCGTCTGAAGCCATTTTGCTACCCGTGTCTTCCTTCTACGTTTGATTTGTATCAAGCGATAATTTTGTATTTCTCGCAAACTAGCCACAGTCCACAAGATTAACGCGAACGACGGCCAAGACCGGCTCGCTTTACCGGCACGATACCCATTCCCCGGAGTGTATACTACTTGCAATTCCAAAGGTTGTCGCACTCGCAGAAAATAAGAGAATTTCGTTATCATAAACATTCGTTTTTTTTCCCGCAATTTTAGTGCAGATCATTCGAGAGTCGCATTCATTCCCAGAAGAGTTAGTTTAAATTTCAAGGGATGCTGCATTTTACGAAAGAATACTAAGTTTCGTTCGATTCTAAATATTTATTTTTCTTGTTGTTTTGTCTATGTATTTTGAAAATGTGGTTCTTTATAGATATTGTTTAATATATAGCCTGCATAATGCCTAACGACGCAGCAGGTATTGTGTAAATATTATTAATCAATAACAAATCCGTGATGCCGAATTCACGATATCGCCTCAATATGTCTAATGAAGGGTAAAGGTTGGATATAAGGGCTGTGTTGGCGTTAGGCTGAGACCCGTGTTCAATTAGTTGGAACACAAACTTCAGCCGAACGCAGGAATCGTGTCAAATTTCTGCCTGGTGTTGCACTTCTTTAAGTCAAAGATTCGGCTCTACGGATTCAAGCGGGTGTGCAATTAATGAACGAACTAAGATCGTTCGGGCGACTGACTGATGGCTTATGTACCAATATCAAGCCAAAATCAAGGAACAAGTTGCAAATCATCGACTGTAATTCCGAGTCGCGTATTGTGTTGCCACAAAAAAAAAAAAAAAATAACGACTTTGGGTACGGTATTTTTCTTTTTCGGCGGGCCCACTACGAAAATGATGTACAGACCCTTTCTTCAAGGGCGCCGCCATCTTGAATTGTCGTCACTTCCATTATGGGCGAAAACATTGTTTTGCCGTTGCCACGCCAGTAGAAGACACTTAGGATATAAGCGTAACCGTCACACATTATCTTTTTGACTCCCCTTATTTTTTTACCAGTTGCAGGTTGAGACGTTTTAGTATTTTTTCGTCACCCATACTGGATACGCCTATTAGGTGCCTGGGGACGAGAGTACACAAAAAAGGCCTACATGTGAATTTTGCTGTCGAAACCAGGAGTTGCGTTTATACGCACGCGACCACGTGTTAAGCGCAGGCACTGACGCGCAACCTGATGAAATGAGTCCGCAATTAACGGCCTACATTAAAGGACAGCTAAACAGAACTGCTCGCAATTAGTCAGCCTCCTGAGTAGTTCTTCCCCTCCCCACCTCCCCCCCTCCTTCCTGCGGGAGGTTTGGTACGTCCCGTCAAATGAGTAGTTCACAGGAGGGCCGCTAGGTTAGCGCTTATTTGCCCTAGTTGGCGGGTAATTGCGTGGCGGAGTTGGATCTCAAAGCCCTTTACGTGATCGAAGCGCAATTTACAAATATGTTTAGTACGCTGAAGGCTCTGGAATGTTCACTACTGTTGTATGTAACGGCGACCTCAGTCTAATAGTGATAGCATAAAAGAGTTTGGAACGATTTTTGTTGAACCGGATCCCGATGAGCCATATGTTATTTACACAATTTATAAAAAAAAGGGGGTTCTTCATACAGCTGAATTCGAAAATAATTTACGGCCTTGTGTTTTATTGAGGTCATTATATTTATGCAATAACCTGTTATAGTTTATTCTGCCATATATATTCTTGAACCAAGGTAGTAAACGTAACTTCGCAGCTATGCGCTTCCGCCTGTTGGGTGGGTCAATGACCAGGCACGCTCAAACTTTATTTCTCCCTAAACCGAAACAAGACGTTCTTCACCACCCCCCCCCCCCAAAGTTCAACTTCACATTCTATTTTTCAATCAAGATAACGTCTGTTTTTTTTAGCATTATTTCACTTGCTTGAAGAAATATAACGTTTAGCTGTAAAAGAGTTTCCGCCTTGTTGAACTACTTGTAGTATTTGCTCATTCCTGACCGCCCTTGCACTGTCCGGACTTCCCTTAAAGCTTTTATAGAGGTGTAGCTTCCAAGAAAGTGGCGATGACGAACGCGTACAAAGTGACAAGAACATCGCGGCGTTTAGAAAGACCAAAATCTTTTCTTAAATAATATTGATGATGGGTTGAGAACAAAATAAAAAGAGCAGATACAAAAAAAAAGTTTACGTGAAACATTTGATAGGATGTGTATGCTTTTATTGGTCATCTATTTGACCCTAAAGGAAGAAGCATTCTCTGTGATCCATGACCAAGCAGAATGGAATTACCAAAGCAAATCTGCTTTGACAACCGATTGGAAGGCTCTTTGAGAGCCGATCGGTGATAAGTGCAGCAAGTCATGTTGCGGCATAGGATTGATGCCGATTGCAGTAAATGAGAAGAAGGAGGTTAAGTTTTTGTGTTTTTTTCGGAAGTTGTCGAGCGCGCGAGCAATATTTACCGTCGCCATATTTACCGTCGCAATATTTACCGTCACGAGGACAAAGAACTCACTGAAATTTTTGAAGGCGAGACTGCTGTCTTTGAGATCGATGGCGCTGAGGATGATTCCGGCAACATCCAAGGTCTGTAGGAGCGTCGTGGCACAACGGTATCGCGTTTGCTGCAATGGAAAATTCAAATTCCTTGTTCATATTTGCTCAATATTTTTTTATTCCGAAAAATTTACGAACCTTTTAAATAAGGTATATGTAATATGTCTCAATTTGCAATTCTGTGTCATAAACAAAATGCGCAGGGAGCCTACTTTACGTAACAATCAGTGGTTTCCGTTTTAACATCGCATTCTTCAGCTTTGTTTAACATACACATTTACATTTAACCTTTTTGTATCCATTGGTTTAGGAAGCTCCACAATAAATAATACGGAATGACATTACTTCCTAAAACTAATGTTAAACAGCCTGCTCCAACTCAGGCACCAGTTGCTCTACGTTTCATTTTGATATGACCTAACAGTGTAGTGAATATCCATGTTGGTTTGACCGGTCAGTCAATGGACTCGCCCGGAACAGCTTTATCTGCATAAGCGCAGTCACGTGGGGCTTGGGGAGGGGTTGACAATGAAAACCAGGTACGTACCTGTTACATTAAAGTTACTTTACTATACACGTGTCTGCGTGCCTCTTTATTTTCGAAGCAAATATATATTTTCATGTAAGACGCAAAATAATAAGTGTTTGAAGTACAACTCATGCAGTAGAATATTTTAACTTTTTGCTAAAGAGAAGTCTATTGCGTTATAATATTCAACCCGTACATTCGGCAGACGCAGAATTAACGCTTGCAGCCCCCGATGAATCTGACATGGCATGGGTACCCTACCGAAAAATCCGGTTACCTTTTCCCTATCCGAATTATGGAACCGGAAATTTGTTTCTGGAAACCCGAAATCCAGATTGCAGACAAAGGAATAATTTTTGAAAACCTAAATTCCAGATAAAATCCAGATAGAATCCAGATAGATTTCCGGTCCCATAATCCGGATAGCGAAAAGTTATACCGGATTTTTCGGTAGGGTAGGATTACTATTAAATTACTTAACCAATGTATTAATTAGATCTTAATACTTCGGTGCTAAAAGTTCCACTGATCGACAATGTTAGCGCGAAGACGACATGGGCGTTTTTTTTTTCCCTTTAACTCAGAGCATAGAGGGTCTGGAAACTTTACGCCTTAGGACACTGCGCAGAATTAGGACTTTCGACCACACTAGTAATTTGTATGGTAGCCGTTCAGTTAAAAAAAAAAAATCAGAAAAACCGGTGATCGCTTGTCCGCGGTAGCAATATCCAGCCGAGTATGTTATCTTGCGCACTGTGGTGCGCGAACTATACATTTTAGAACTTTATATATCGCGCGGTGTAGACTATCAAGAAGAGCAGACTATACAAGAATTTGTTTTTCTAGATTTGTTTGATATTATGAGACGTGACGTATTTTCGAAATGACTTAGTATGTTTATAATAATTCATGCACAATAAGTGTCTTCCCTAATAAAGAAGACATTGGTCAAGGTGCACAAACCTTTACAAAAGCTAGAAATCAAATTTAACGTTTCTGTTTGAGCAGCGTAAGGTTGGTTTGCCACTGAGCTGCGGCGACACTGGATTTTAGTCATTACTTTATAGTAAACTTGTTTGGCTTATAAATAAGGCCTCTGTCAATGGTTAAATAACAAAACAAAACAAAAATTGACTTTCGCGTTTTTACAGCGCAGGTCGGTCTATTCTTAAGGTGCGGCGATACTGGTTTACGCTGTAAAAGAAATATTTCGCCAGTGAAGTACCACTGCAATTAGCAATAACGTTAAAACCAATATTTATAACGTTAAACCCAACCAGGCAGACGTCTGCCGAAATGTTCAGCTTCATGTACTACTGCAAGCATGTCGTCTTTAACGTGCATGACAAAGTAGTGATGCATGACCGGAAGCCGGTTGGTTCGTTGCTGATCAAGACTGAAATCTGCAGGGGTGGGGATTGAATCCAGGATCCCTAGGTTATGCAGCGCGAGCTTTCGTTCCACGTGTTCCGAGCTGGGTTGCGCTAACAAACTCATCCTGCGGTACCCCCTTTTACGCGCAGAATATGCACTTGGGACGGGCTGTATCTAAGCAAAAATTTAACTCTCTCAACCCGATTCCCTGCGGACTATACACCGAGTTCCGATAACCTAAAATGAACGACTTTGTCAACCAAAATGTTCCCCTACGAAATATATACAGTTGGCGCGGAATATCCGAAAAAAGAAACTTAAGTTTTCGAATCGTATCCCTTCCTAGGGCTACACACCGGCTGTGAACTATCTAAGAAAAAGCTACCTTTTCAACCGAAACGTGCCCCTGCGAACTACAAACCGGGTGTGGTTATCCAAGAAACAAAAATTTACTTTCCAACCGAATGTGCCCATGCAGACTATACTCCGGGTGCTGACGATCTAAGAAAAACACCTTACTTTTTCAACCAAAACTTGCTCCTGCAAGTTATACGCAGGGTGCGGCTAAGAAACGTTTACATTTTTTCTATTTTATTAGATGAGCCAATGTTCAGAAAAGTTGCAAACCCTAGCTTTGTTCTCAGTTGCCAAACGAAAACAAAATACGGTGCTGCATATTTATGTTTTCGTACCGCAGGTATTTCGTTCCAAGGTATATCAAGACTAAGCAGCTTATCCACGGTCTTGGCAGTTTCCTTCCCAACACGCTCGGCATTTTCGAAGTTGATGTCTCCCACTTGGACGTCGCCGCTCTCCAATCTCTTGGTAGCGGTGTCTAGGAGGTCGACAATGGCCAGCAGGTCCCCGCCCACTTTGAGTTCGCTCTGGCGCATGAACTCGTTCATTTGTTCCACGGTGTTGGGTAGGTTGGGTCCCTGGGTATCGAAGCACAAGACCCCGCAAATGGATTTCCCTTCATTCTCTCCAGTTGCATGCTTGGAGTCAACTACACTTCAGCACAGCGTTATCGCAGTATTCAGCGATGATGGTTCAACCACGTGACAGTCTCGTTATTTTATTTTTTAGTTGAAATGAATGCTGCTTGCAATACTCACCAATTTTTCGCCTTTTCCAGCTGCAATCTGCAAGATAAGAGACGTCTTACTGCTCTGACTATATAAAGTGCAAAGGGACAGACGATTGCATAAAGTAAACATGAGCGCGCTATACTCACAGCTGATGTTTTAATTAAAAAATATAGGGAAAGAAAAAAAAGAAGTGAGAGATGCTATAAAAAGAGAGGAAGCATCGCATATTATCTTTTAATATTTTCTTAAAATCAGATTTTCTTCATGTAATTGTGATGATTCCCAAACGACGAAGGGAATTTCCGCTCCCGGCCTGGTCACCAAGGTCTCAAGAAGCGGCATGAAGCATGGTTCAAGGCGCAAAAAACAACACACAACAAAGAAGATACACGCTCAGGCACCTGTGTGTCTGCCTTCTCTTTTATGTCCGGTTTTTTTTTTTTTTTTTGCGTCTTGCACCGTGCTTCATAACGTTCACCAACTAACCAAATTACAAGTTTTTACGAAGCAGCCCGCAACAGAGAACAACCGCCGGAAGGACCAGGCGACCTCAGTCTCATCGGGGAAAATTATCCAACATTCATACTCGGCTGAACCAAGCGTCAAAGAAAACAAGCTACCTGATCTGAGCACCAACAGCGACTGACAATCAGCTGATATCACTGCCGCTGGGCATAAGCCAGAAGGCAATACCGAAGTTAAGGAATATTAATCTAACATCGACGATGCAAACTTCCCAATATTCGCAGGGAAGTGCAAGTGTCAACATGCAAACAACGGTGCCGCACATAAAACTGGCCTTCTAACAGCTTCGCATTATTGGACCGCTTTGACTTTCATTTCTGTCCCAGCAAATCCAGAAATTTCTCTGACAAAAATAAACAGCCTGAAACTTTTTTTTTTCGGCGTTAGAAGTAACATGCAAGGAATGTGTCCTAACGATCCGCCTATCGGACATCTACACTTGATCGCTGTTGATACGAGCAACGCCCACGCTACTAGAATCTGCCTCAAGGTTACTTGACTTCGCCAAGCGGCCGTTAGTTTACGAGCCCCGTCCACGCTTAAGACCAGTCGGTGTCATAGGGGGCATAGATCAACAGACCATAGACACACTTTCAAAATTAACTGAACGCTGATCAGACACGAATTCTAGTAGATACTCGCAGGCTTAGCAGGCCTACAATTGTTAGAATAGATTTCACATTCACACTACCGCCGAAATATGCTCTTATTTTCTTGCGTCCTTTATCGAATCGTCCCGTTCGAAGATCGTCCCTTGAAATGCCCAAACTGTGGCTGCTGCGGCCATAGCACTGTTCCGCGAATTCGAGAAACAATGTGCGAGAAGCAAAAAGGCGTTAACGGTGGCAGTTCCCACGATTCCCTAGCTCAAGCATGCCGAAAACGGGTTCCACAGAAATAGCAGAAATTTGCAAACAAGGCTAAACATAGTTTCCAATAATTCCACAACGATGTCCAACTCAATGTTTCTCAGCACTATCACAAATCACAAGCGCTTAACTTTAATGGTTTTCTGAAGCTTACACTACGTTCCACCGAAAAAACAAAACAATCTGACTCTGGTCAGTCACGTCAAATAAGTGTAAAGAATAGGCACAGTGACTCGCTGAAATAAAAAAAAGCTCGCGGGCTACGTCTGTTTTAAATGACAATGTCAATAACTCAAGCTTTCCATCATCTACTAACAAAGAAGTGCAAATAAAAACATCTCCCAAAAAGCATTATCAAGTATGCCGGTAGACAGACACGAATAAATTAGATTAGATTTTTCCGAAGCATTTGATCGTGTTCCTAATTGCCGACTACTCGCTAAACTCTCTTCACTTCACATTGACTCTCTTACACTTTCCTGGATACGTAACTTCTTAACGCTACGACGCCAATACACAGTGTGCGGTAATCACCAATCTAACATGTCTGATGTAATTTCTGGTGTGCCACAGGGAACCGCGCTCGGGCTTCTTCTTTTTTTAATATACGTGAACGACTTACCTCGTTCAAAATACCATCTCGTCCAAAATACGCCTCGTTGCGGATTACTGTGTTGTTTACAGGCAAATCACTAATCCCGATGATCACATAATTCTCCAGCAAGACCTAAACTCCATCAGTGCTTGGTGCGACAATTGGCTTATGTCTCTTAATGGTTCAAAATGTAATGTAGTAACTTTCAGTCGCAAACAATCGCTATCGCGTCATTCATAACTTTTATATAACTCGCCCCCCTCATTCTCATCCTCTTACAAATACCTTGGTGCTCATCTCTCTCACAACCTATCCTGGTCTAACCACATTGACGTCATTACAAGTTCTGCATCCAAAACACTGGGATACTTGCGACGCAATCTTTTCTCTGCACCCCCCCCCCCCCTCCCCCCAATTTAAGCAAGTTAGCGTACGAGACATACGTTCGCCCTATACTCGAATTTGCTTCCGCTGTATGGAACCCCCACCAAAAATACCTTATCAATCAGGTCGAAAGCATCCAAAATCGTGCAGTTCGTTTTATAACATCAACCTACTCTCGCCAAGCAGGTGTCTTCTTTCTAAAAAGCTCTATCCTCTTAAAACCACTTGAAATACGTCGCACCGCTGCCCTTTTATGCACCATTCATTAATCACGCTATTTTAACCCTAACGTTATCGCCCCCCTGCTTGAGCCCCCTAACCGAAACTTCTCGTCGTTTGACTAACAGCCGAAGTTATAAGCGCATTTTTGGTCATGCATCTGCGTTCAATAATTCCTCACTACCACGCGCAATCATGCATTCGAATTCTCTTCCTGATCACATAACCGCACTTTCGGACCCTACAGCATTCTGAGTAGCTGTTTTAGATTTTTTAAGTACTAATTAGTTTTCGTTTACAGTGATGTTCTTGCCCAGATAATGAAGTGTTATATGTGCTTAAATCCTACAATTTGTATAATACATAATTTTGTTGTATTGGTTTTTCAGTTGTGATATTGCTATCCTGGTCGTACTGTTATTTTTTGTCTTCTTTGAAGTGTTGACTGTACTGTATTTTGACAAAATCCCCCCTTGCGTAATGTCGAGAAATGGACCTTCAAGGTGTTATGAATAAATAAATAAATAAATTTGAATGCTGAGATGCTCAATAAGATGAGTCTTTTCGGAGAGACAAGACTACAATTTGTGATTGACATGGTAAGCAGTTTCCCAAATAGTGAGACTTGGAACACAAAAGTACAGAAGGGACTTGGTTTTAACACCAATTTGCCCTTTTCATGAACAATGTAGCATGCTGTTATGAAGCTTTGAATAAAACATGGGTCTTTCGAAGGAACAGTAATGGCCTTCTAACAAAACTCACGGATGTTTAGGCAACTTGTATCGAAGTATCTTTTTTTCTAACTTGGCATCTTTCGAAGCAAATATAAATGAAGAAACGAACCTTAACCTTTGAAGGTACTCGTTTTTCTTTTTTATCAGAACGTCTGAAGCCATTAAAGTTTTATATAAAATATAAAGAAAAATAGCACTTACAACGAATGTGATGTGATACCCGGTGCCACAAATAAATACGTCTGAGCAATTGTGAAAAACATACCGCGTAGTTTCTCTTCCATTCGTGCGTACGTGAAAACAAGGATACCGATTGATTCCCGGCGGCATGAAAATATTGTACAGAGCACCCCCCCCCCCCTCTGCATATATACGTATATGCAGTGATTTTAATGTCCACAATTAATTCTGGGATAGTACATGTAACACTAAACGGAGATCGAAAATCAATGATATCGAAGTGAGCCTAAATGTAGACCTGAGGACCGATGGTACTTTAACTTTTTATGGTGTTAGAATCTGAGTAGTGTTTTAGACCTGAAATTTGTTTCGGCAGGCTTCGCAAAACTGTTTTGTGGTTAACTGAGCTAGAAGCAGAAGGGAATAAACACATACCAGTCCTAACATTGGTCCGTGGTTTTGAGAGCGATAAGAAACCTCGCATGGTGTAGGTGACCGACTGGAACAAGCATTTTAAATTTAAAAAAAAAACACCTAATTTTAGCTGTAAAGGGAACTGAAGAACTAGTACCATTTCCGAGGGGCGTTCATAAAGTTTATAATATTGGTACAAAAGATCGAAAAAGGGGCACAAAACAGGCACAACACGAGCCCATGCCCCTCTAGTTTGGGCTCGGCATAAACATCACGTATTATAGTACCGCGGAACGCCGCTATAGAAGCGTGCAGCAGTGTTTTGTTTTCTTATTTGAAGGGAAGCAATGGTAAGGATGGGGCAGTGTCGGAACACAACGCCCAATTTTATGACAATGTAGTTAAATGGCGTAGACGCTTCCAGCGTGGCCAAACAAGCCCGAAAATCTTTCAAGGACGATGACCAAGTGATTGCTGAAGTGGAGCGATAAGTGAACACTAAAAACAAAGAGTTCTGTAACAATTACCTAAGCCAGGTTGTCCATCGCTGGCAAAAGTGCGTGACTTTGGGTACCAAATATGTAGAGAAAGACTAAACTCCTGCCCGCGTTTCTTTGCCGAATCTCTACTTCTTCCTGACAATAATACGAACTTTATTTTCGCATTGCATGTCACAGGATTTGCGAAAGATTACCCTGCCTTTTAATAGCATAGGCATTGATATGGAGTATAAAAGGCTACGAGCTCTCAAAGGCAAGCGGAGAGCGAGCCAAACGTACGAAGAGGCGTGTTGACTTTCAAAATGCACGTGCAGCAAAAAAAAAAAAAAAGTGTGCAAGGAATAAGACGCTTTTAGCCTGCGTCGTTGCAGATAAATTTACTCATCGTTGGATGCAAAAGGGACGCTCACTCAGCTCTGGAGAGTGGTGCGTAGAATTTTAACTCCGGCTCGCCCACTTTTTCCTTTTGCAGTTTTTTCTTCACATCATGATATATCAGATATTGAAGCTGCGGATGCCTTTTGCCGACTTATGGTCTACGAATCATGTCGCTTACAATGTCAAGACGACACCCGAGTTGATACTATAAGGTCCATAAAAACTTCTTTGGACTTTATATTAACTCCTGAGG